AGCTCAGCTGTGTAAATACAAACACACCAGGAGAGTGATGTGTGTCAACTACTTAGCCGGCTTCTGCCCGGAAGGACCCAAGTGCAAATTCATGCAGTATGTATCTGGGAGGGGATAGGAGGGACTTTGGCAAGGCCTGGGGGGAGGGGTACCATGGAGACTGCCTCTACGAAAGCCCAGAGAGTGGGCAGTTGCCTCGGGGAGATGGAGGAGCACCTCTGTCTGCAGACCAGCTGGATCTTAAACCTGAGTTAATCCCTTCCACGCAGCCTCACCAGTTCTGTTCTGTGCCCGTGGCGCCATCTGCTGGGCAGGGCAGGTGACTGCATGTGGCTACCAGCTTCCCGGAATTCCGAGCCTGGGAATTCCCTGGCTTCCCACTCTGCCCTCCTGCCTCCCCTCCCCCATTTGGGTCTCGCACTTGGGTTTGCATGACACTGCCTGGGCCGGCCGGACAAGGCTGCTTGTGACAGAGGTTTGCTTGGCCTGTCAAATCCCCTGCTTGGTATCACTGACTGTCTTTTCCTTCTGCCCCTCCGACAGCCCCAAGGCCGACGTGACGCTGTGTAACTCGGATCTCTCCCAGGGCAGGCCTGGAAAGGCGCCCATGTGGGCGTCTCCTGAGGTGAGGGCTGGACACTCTTCAGCGACTGGCTTCTCCCTCCCCCCCACCCTTCTCCCGAACCCTGACTTGGATGATCCAAAACCGTTCACAAATTCACAGCAAGATCCCTGAAAACTGACCCCCGCCCCCAAAATCAGCACTCGTCAGTAATGAGGAAACTGAACCCAAAGTTTTACGTAAGTATTAAAAAACAACAGGAAGTCTGGTAGAACTAGACTAACAAAACATGTAGGCTATGTCTACGCTCCCGGCTTTCTTGCGCGAGAAATATGCAAATGAGGCTATGCGTGGAATATCGCCGCGCCTCATTTGCATACCTAATGAGCCGCCCTTTTTGCAGAAGAGGCTCTTGCGCCAGAAGGAGCTGTCTACACTGCCCCTTCTTGCGCAAGAAAAAATCCGCTTGCGCAATGCTGTTATTCCTGAAAATAATCGGCATAGCGGCATTGCGCAAGAGGGTTTTTCTTGCGCAAGAAGGGGCAGTGTAGACAGCTCCTTCTGGCGCAAGAGCCTCTTCTGCAAAAAGGGCGGCTCATTAGGTATGCAAATGAGGCGCGGCGATATTCCACGCATAGCCTCATTTGCATATTTCTCGCGCAAGAAAGCCGTGAGTGTAGACATAGCTGTAGATGGGATCATGAGCTTTCGGGGGCATAGCCCACTTCTTCAGATGGTTCTGAACATCCTATACTCCAGTCATCTGAAGAAGCGGGTTGTGCCCACGAAAGCTCCTAATACTATCGATGGCTACGTCTACATTGGCATGATCTTGTGCAAATACTCTTTAACGCAAGAGTTCTTGTGTTAAAGTATTTGCACAAGAGAGCGTCTACACTGGCACGTGCCTTTGCGCAAGAGCATCCGTGCCAGAGTAGATGCTCTCTTGCGCAGGAGAGCTCTGATGGCCATTTTAGCCATCGGGCTGTCTTGCGCAAGAAATTCACGTTGCCTGTCTACACTGGCCTCTTGCGCAAGAACAGTTGCACAAGAGGGCTTATTCCTGAGCGGGAGCATCATTGTTCTAGCGCAAGAAGCCCTGATTTCACACATTAGAATGTCAGTGTTCTTGCGCAAGAATTCCCGCTAGTGTAGACAGGCAGCATGTTTTTGTGCGAAAGTGGCTGCTTTGGCGCAAGATCGTGCCAATGTACACACAGCCGATGTGTTTTGTTAGTCTTTAAAGTGCTACCAGACTATAAGTAGGTTGTTTTTTTAAGTCTATCCTGTACAGACTAACTCAGCTACCCCCTGAAGCTTTTTTACTTACGTGTTGGGGATGTTTGCAGAAACCCAAGGACTGGATTTACCCACCACTGGGGCGGGGAAAGGGTTGGGAAAAGGTGCCTGCTTGTACCCTTTAGCCTGGTGGCTACCGTTCTCTGCGAAGATGTGGGAGACCAAGATTCAACTCCCCGCCCCCCGACACCTGATGTGGTGCTGGGATTTGAACCAGATTTCCCGCGTCACAGGAGAGCCTCATAACCGCTGGGATCTTCCGGAGCGGGGTCTTTCTCCTCTCCCTTGCTGAAGTTGTGCCGCTTCCGAGAAATAGGCAGCAACACAAAGCTTTGAGTACCCTCGCCCCCGGCTAGAAAGTCCTTCTCAGGCCCAGCGGCTATCCATGGCAATTCACAGCCAGGGGTGAGATTCCAGCAGACGGGAAAGCCGGCTGTGAACCTCGGATGCTCCTGCCCTGTAGCTAGCTTGCCCTGACCACAGCTAGCCTGGCTGATTTCTCCTGTGCTGCAGGGGCTGACCCCACCAGCCGCTGTTGGCAAGCGAGGTCAGGAGCCGCAAGCCTTGGAGGTCCCCTCGCTTTCTCACCAGCCCGGGGTGAAGGCTGCCCCATGCCAGATGAAGAAGGCCCAAGAGACTGGGGGTTACCCCTACACCGTGCTCCGGCCCCTTGGGCAAGTCACGTGTTTCAAGGTCAGTGTCTGGTGCCGGGGAGCCCTTTACAAATGATTCTTCCCCCACACTCTCGGCTCCAAACAGAGATGCCAGTGCTTGGAGCAAGCCTTGTCTGGTCTTATTCCGAGGCTACTGCTATTATGGGACCCACGGACTCGAAGCCGTCGCTGCCCGGCTGCTGTTCCCCAAGGGGACAGAACAAGGTTCTACTCCAGCTTAAAAAGCACTTGGGTTTGCTGACTTGCAGCAGCTCCTTGCCTTGTTGTTGCCCGTTGCTGAGCCCTTTGTCTTCCTGGGTTTGCCACGATCTCTCACGCAGCCCCCAGGACTGGAGTGGGGGTCTGGATTGGCAGGGGAGTGGGCCGGTGCCATAAAACCAGAACAGACTCCAGTGCAGTGGGGGTGAGGCAGAACCCATCCTATTTAATTATTACATGATTTGACTTTTAAAATATTTCAGTATTTGTGTTATATTTTACTTTTTTTGTACAGTATGCTGAGCCACTCCTTTGTGAACAGTGATTCTATAAACATTTTTGTAATAATAAGTATGCTTAAAGAGTTCAACAATACTGGAGACTTAAACTTGTGTTTAAGTGGGATTCATGGGTGTTATGGGGGAGGGCACAGTTCAACCCATCATGTTAGTATTGTTTTAAAGTCAGAAGTCTGATCACAGGTGAGTGAAGGTACAGTGAAGCTATTGTGGAGTTTTACTCTTATTCAGGGTGAATTGATTTAAATCAAGGCTATTTAAATCATTGATTTAAAACACCAAAAAAAGATTTGAATCAAATTTCTCACTGATAATTCTTCACATTTATTCAAACAATGTGCAAGTCTGATCACTAAAACATGTTAATTTACAGCTCAGTACAGCATTTTACAACATCTAAGAGAGTACGCTTCGTGTAATATTTTCAGATAATTTGATTTTTATTAATTTAGGAAATATACTATATATTTGAGAGAGTTTGTCTGTGCATGAGTTTGTCTTTAGATGCAGCCGGTGTGTTGTGTTAAACCAGGAGTGGGGAACCTTCTTTGGGGTCGGGGGCTGCTGACCCACAGAAAAATTAGTTGGCTGGGAGGCAGTGGAGGGT